GTGTGTGCGTGTGTGTGTGTGTGTGTGTGTGTGTGTGTGTGTGTGTGTGTGTGTGTGTGTGTGTGTGTGTGTGTGGAGCGACAAATATATTGTGCGGGCATATATCTTATGGGTGAAAATGTGTGTGTCTGGAGCCTTGAATAACCTCAGTCTACTCTAACCCTAAGACCCTGGGAAGAACAATAAAAGCAATTTACAACGGTCCAGTGAAGCATTACCTGACCTGTTGTCCTGTTCCCATGAGGGGAAATTCACTGCACATCATTGTTGTTATCTGTTGCTCAGCAGCATTGTTTCCTAACAACAGCTCACATCTCATTCTGGATAATTACTCGCAGGTAAAGTAAGCAAATGTTGACAATTATACTCTGGAATGATAAATACTGGGTTTCCCACATTAAAAGGAAAAAGTACCTCTATGACTTCTCCCTTCCCGTTTGCAGTAGGTTGAGCAGTGAGCATCAATAGTTTTGAATGTTGTTGCTGCATAAGACAGTGATTGGCTGTTTTACATTTGTGACGTACTTAGTGTTTAAGTTGAGGGTATTTAAATTTCTTTCAGCTAAATGTTTGATTTGATGTTGGTATCATATTCAATTTGGCTGAATTGGCAGGCATTGCATTTCATTGGATAAAGGTGGGATCTGCACATGACTCGTACCACTAGTAGGGATCACTAAAGAGTTTGCCTGTATCTAAGAAAAAGTATTTAGTGCAAAAACAAATACAAGTTTGTTATTTGCTTTATGGAATTATTGCCCAGCCCTTAATATTCATGGTCTCCACAGGTTGTTTCACATGTTTTGGTGACCCCATCATCTTTCATCTAGACTTCTAGAGCCACTATCAGCTCAAATCTTACCCTTGACCAACACTTTGACCTGTCAACATTTGAAAAGTATTTTACATTAAGTTTTTAATTCTTATATTTTCAGGGACCTCTCTGACATTGATGGATAAATTGCTCTATGCTTCCAAAGAGGTAAAAACCTTTCAATGACCCCACAACCTTTCCTGCAGTGCCACCCTCAGGATAAGGGCTAATAATGCCCTACAAATAGCATAAACATCACTGTGTTTGTTCCAGCAATTAGAATTCAGTGTGTTATTGGACTTTGGTCAGACTGTTGGTCTTGTTAAAATACTTGTTTTTTGTCTTTGAGTCTTAAAAATCTGCTACAATTTCAAAACAAATTGTGTGTTAAGAAAAAAGCATTTGTTCATTACCACATGAAAAAGGTTTTCGGTACAGATCTGGATTAGATCTAAATGATAGAAAAATGTGTCCTGTTCAAATAGGTGATAAAACTGAGAGGTTAAGATAATTGATCTTAAGACAAAGCTTACTGTGTATTGAATAATTAAACTGTTGTAAAAGATAATAGTCCTCAGATTGTTATCAAAGTTTATATAAGGAAGAACCAGCATCGAATGCTTGTGGAGATTCATTAGTATGCTTCCAGTTTCATCAATCCTTATCCTTTCAATTTATTCACTACTTCAAAATGATTCAGTACATTTTAAAAGTCTTATATAAGGTTATAAAAAAGTATCCGTAAAGAACACAGTACTGGAAAAACTGAAAGATACTAAAACTGGACACACCAGGTCGGCATTCTTTACTGAAAAACCCAAAGGCTCATTGGCCTCAGTGGACAAAAATAGTTCTCCTTTATTCCACTGTAATGAAATTCTGTTCCGGTTTGACTGCTCACCAAACTGTGGATGAAGACATTTCAGCGACCACCCACCGCTGCTCATGTATCACACAGGAGCAGGCCATGTTTGTCTGCTGGTGACAGATGAAAGAAAGGAAGAAAAATCCAGCTCTGCGTTTCCATCCACAGGCTGATATTAGATTGACATGAGATTACTCATTTAAATTCATAATGGAACGTGTCTGGGTTGGACTTTGTAGATTCCCCTCCTGAAAGCCAAATTGTGCAACAGTTTTTGATACACACAAAAGAACAGCCAGCCAAAGACTCACTCTGCTTATTAAACAACAGCCTTCCAATTGTGTCAAGATCTTCTGAAAGTGAGATACAAACTAATCCCTTTACTGAATCCAAAGTGATCGAACTCATATTCTTTCAAGGCACTTCAGTCCTGTTTGCGGGACTTCAACATAAGCACTATGCAGCTTGTATCATGTATTTTACAAAAGAAATGCATTCTAGTTTCATTATCCCTTAAAACCCTGTACAGCTCTGCCACTCAGAGACACAGATCAGAAGTCTAAACACTATAACAGGCTTGTCATCGGCCCCTCGGCCATAAGACTGGTGGCTCTACTAAAGCCCCTCACACTGCGACAGGGCATTGAGGATCAGGACTGAATATTCTGGATGTCAGACTGGTGAGCCACTGGGTGACATATCTTCATCCCTATCCTCTAATTTCCCCTCTTTTGCCTCTTCTTCTTCCCCAACGCACGGCAGGGGCTGTATTTCGGCTTCATTATGGCCGCACGAAAGCCAATATTTGTAACCATATTCACCATTTTCCTCAGTGGGGCAGGGTTGGTGGTGGGGAGTGGATGAAGGGAGGAGGGGGGGTGTGGAAGAGGGGAGCAGGAAGGGAGGGAAAAGCTCCCCAGATGAAAATCCTAAATCAGTATGCCCTGCCGCTGCAGCTGAGGCCTAGGCAGGGATTTCGTTTAATTTATTCTCCTAAGCCTGGGAATCAAGCCATCAAAAGGAACCAAACTATCAGGTTTCCTGCACTAAATGGCCCAACAGTGTGATGTGGCCAGCCTGGGATCCGACTTAACCCTTTCGAGGTGGCAGGCAGCGTCAGAGCCAGTTGCCTTCCTTGTCTGGACCAGTTTATCTGAGACACTCTGAGGACAGAGCAGCGGAGACTTGTGAACTAAAGGTGACACGGTGGGGATGGGTGGCTCTCCCTCACAGTGTTTGCTAGATTTGGATATCCCTTCTTTAGCCTTGTTTAATGGTTGTGGATCATGGGATTAAGGGACACAGGCTCATGGTAGGCCACTGCTGAAATGCCAGCACCAGTCTCTCTAGTAAAGTATGTTGACATGATGGTTCTGCAGCATGTTCTTTACATCCAGTGCCCACATCCAGTACCAGTGCAGGAAGTAGTGTACTTTTTTTTGTAAAACGTACACTTTATTTGTCGTTAGTCAGAAAAGTAATTGAGGTCACGGCCTTGGATGTGTTGCACAGGGGGTTGATTAAAGAATGGTTGCAGCATTCGTACATGTTTTGGAATATGTCATGTTTAAATCAGGCCAAGGAGATGAAGGAACACTTTTTTTGAATACTATAATTACTGATTATTTTGGAGATCTAAGCTGAAGTGCTGTGGCTTTATTTTTAAAGTGAAGTTTACCCATGATGCCGTGTTGGCAGGTAGCTGTGGACAAGAAGAAAGAGAAATTACAGAGAGAGAGTATGGATTTAAGACATTTTAATCGATTTGAGATTTCTTCATTTGGTTTTTCCTGTGTTATAAATTACTCATTCTAGTTGAGTCAGGTCTCATTTGAGCCCAGTTCCACAGTTTCTCCAAATAAGTGTTTTAAGAGTCAAATCCGATATTTCTTGCTCTTGTGAAAATCCATCTCTTGAGTTCTTGGGATTATCAAGCTTCTCTATTTTGTCCTCGACTGCATGAAAACCGGCAATGACCAAAAAACCACGAAAGCTACTGTTCAACCGTCTGAGAAGCTCAGAACACCAAACACACTCACACATAAACGTCACAGAGGCTTTATTTACTGCTTGACTCATTGCAAAGAGGGTTAAGGAGGTTCTTATTAACTTATTCTGGTGTCCTTTGGTGAACTCATTTCCCAAGAGGTCACAGTGGAGGTCAAAGGAGAAACAAACTGTGTCCGGACTCTATACGACACACTGATTTTAACCAGGTTTAAAGTATGTGGTACGTAGAAAATTCAGTATACACACCTGAAAATAATAATAATAATGATCATTATCATCATAAAATAAATAATGATAGTAATATTAATAATAAACAAAATTACTGTTGCCACAAAACAGCAACATATGTTTATTTTGTGTAACTGCAAAAACAGTTCACTAAAGAAAATAATACACATTTAATACACAAATTGCTTTAATTTTACATAACATTTTCAGAAAGGATTGCTTTTGATGAGGTAATCTTCCAATCATTTTAGATTTATTTAGTTTTTCTTTAGTATTTGATCAGTAATTACTTAATTCTTGCTAAACAGATTTCACTCTGAATGACAAGAGTCTGCAAGCTGGGTAATAAACAGCTTACAAACACGTTCACACATGAGATCAGTTAACTAAAATAGAGGTAATTGCGGTATACCATGCACAACCTTGTATTGTCATGAGGTCAACGCATGGTCACTTAACGCTGACTATGACTTTTTGACACCAGTTTTCAAAAACACTGATTGTGATAAGTTTTAAGGTCATGGTTATTTTCCTCGACCCACATCGACTACAACTGACCGTGTTTGGTGTTCAACAACAAGCTAGATGGAAACTCGAACGCTGGAAGAGTAAATGTCAGTAGCCGTTGCGAGTACTAGCAGGCTCTAGTCAGGACTCACGGTCATAAAGGACATAATATTACTTTCTTCTTATGAACACAGTGGAAAGCAGGGCAGATCTCTGATGACCAGCTCCTTACCCCTCATCTCCTCTCTTCCTTGATCTTCCCCCACTGTTTGCTTTACTTTATTTTCTGTTTTTTCTCCCCCTCCCCCTGTAATTTTTTCGTGCAAAGAATAAAATTTCATCTGCGCGGGCTCTGGGAAAGGCGGCCCTCGGATTGGCCCTTGCCCGTACAGATGCTTTGAATTTACAGGGCTTTTCTGCCTGCGAGGAGAAACAGAGAGGGATGGAGGGATGGATGGTGGGGTGGAGGGGAAGAGATGGAAGGGGGTGAAGGGGGGTGAAACCTGCCTGTATTTCCTGGGGATTAGGCGTCAGATGGGCGCCCTCAGAGGAGGTCTCAGGTCCCGGCCTCCCTGGATGGCTGGGAAACTGACCCCCATCTGACTCCGAGGGCTTCTCTGTGCCCTGCCAGCATGTAGCCTCAGGACGGGGCCTATGAGCCAGGCCGGCTCACCGCTGAAACATTCCCATTTGTGCATTATACATTGCATATCAATACATTTCTGTTGAACAAAAATTCACTTTCACAAATCTTTGCTGCTTCATTGTTGGTTGAGGTCCTTCTATTTAATAATAACACCTGCTAAGATATGTGAAATGAAAGTTGAGCAACAAAGGCAAATACATCCTAAACACTGTAAAACATTATGTTCTTTGTTTTAAGCATCCCTGCACAATGGTCAACTTTAACCAATTCTTGAATTTTGACTCTGAATGTATCCTTAAACTGATAATCTTCCTCTCTTCTCCTACTAAGACCAGTTGGTCTGCATAAGCACGGAGACATTGTTCTGTAACACTTTAAATAACGCTTACTTAAATACAGTTGAGATGGATCGCGCACACACACACACAACACGCACAAAGACTTGCAAAACGTTACATTTTCTCTTACAATTTACCTTCACACTCACAGTTTTCTAAATTTCATACAATTCTGTCAGTAACCCTAAGGACCGCCAACACACAAAAAAAGATCTCATAATATCAAGAAGTACAACATTATGTTTATTTTAAAGGTATTTTATTACTGGAGTGTGTACAGACCTTTTGTAGAACCATTTATTGTAGCAATTCTTTAGAAAGCATTTTACTTTTTTTTTCTTTTCATAAGAAAGTTAGGCTTTTGAAAAGTCCAAATGCAGCAGAGCGGTCAGGTTTCTCATATATAGATGTCCCTCAATCCCAATTCAAATCAAACAGCGTCTGTGTGGAGAGGCCTGCTGCTGCACAGAAAATGGCTGAGATGAAAATTCCAATTCTTGATTACAGGGAGCCATCTGGTGGCGGCTGAATGGAAGAGCAAACCAAAAGCAACAGCTGAGAGCGTCTATTTCCAGCAAAGATGAGTACATTAGTTATGTGACTAAACAAAGACAAAAACACACAAAAGCAACTCTCTCACTAGCTTTTTTTCTTCTTCAAAACCCCCTGTGCCTTTATCAATTAAAATAGAAAATAAAAATCTGTGTTACAGTCCAATATTTTTCTATAACATTGCACAAATACTCCATCTATATATAAACATTGATAGGAACACACCATATAAACCACTCGTGCCCAGCAAAAACCTTCATTTCTATCATTTGATGTCATAAAATAACTCATATTTTCTGTAAATGACAAGCGAAAGGTATGCAGTTTACAGTATAAACTCATGACACTGGTAGGATGAGTATTATAATACAGGCGTCAATTAACTTATTATTTCAACTGATTACGTTTTTATGGATATTCAAGGTCTCTGCAGCACACATAATTAATAATTTTGCCCGTGTAAAGAAAGGCAAACAAAGACATTTGCAACACACAACACAAAAAACTCATTCCTTAGTCCTGTGGTCTCCTGAAGACCAAAGTAGAGCAGAGATACCCTTTCATTATACAGTACTGTAAACAAAAGAGATGATCAACAAGATAATTGACCCTAAAAATCACTTTCTCTTGTGTTTTTGAAATGAAAAGAAAATAGCGGTTTTAACTGTTTACTGCCATTACATGCATTAACCCGTATTCATCAGACTTCTCTGGGAGCCTGGCATTTGAGGAGTACTGGAGCTATCACACATAACATATTTTACCGAATGTACCATGAAAAGTAAATCTTAAAGTGAGTCTTCTTACTTGAATCTCTTTTGTAGCGCACTGTTTGTATTAAAAGACCGCAGAATGAACAGTGCACTTTTACATTTAAATGCCAGAGGTGACAAGTAAATAAGAAATTAAAAACAATATAGGAAAAATACAAATAATGCAAAACAGGTTTCCCGGCCTTTAGAAAGATTCTTCTTTTTTCTTCTTTTCTTGATAATAAAACAAACCACCAGGTAAACACCTTGGAGGAAAAGAACAGGGGAGGGGAAGGAGGTGAGGGGCTCCAAACTCTTTTAGCTCGTCTCCAGTTTGGCCATTTCCTGCACGTAGATCCCGATGCTCTCGCTGTCGAACAGCACAAAGTAGACGGTCTTGATGGTGGAAGACATGGTGGCCACAAAGTAGGTGGAGATGGCCTTCAGGATCAGCTGGGCCGCCGTCTGCTTTGGGAAACCATTCCTGGCAGAAAATAACAAACGTGGTGAAACACTCGTCGAACAATTAAAAATAAGTAATTCAGCATGAAAAAAGCATTCAAGATGACTATTTACTAAAGAAATCATGCTCTACTACAACTAGCATTAGGCTTCAGTCAAATTTGAATAGTTCCACAAACTTTTCCTTGACCTCATGCAGCACAGGCTTGCAAGGATTTTAGTTTTGAAAACTCCTAAAGAAGTTGAAGCTTGAAGTTTGACAAGGGAACCTGACTTCTACTGATCCCTATGAACTGTGGATTCACACTCTCTTACTGTTCATCCAATACTTGGCATGCTTGTGTAAATCTTTTCAGATCAAAGTGAAGGTGTTTAATCTGTTGCCAGGAAACTATTTAACCTCCCATTTAGTCTTACAGAGAGAAAATTGAGAGAAATGTACGGGCGAGCAGAGACACATGAGCAGGCACATTCTACTGCTGACGATGCAATTTTGCCATTTTCTTGGTCTGGAACCAGGTTTTAAAAAAGTGTTATGTAACCACACTTTTTGGCAAACCACCTCTCGTTTTTGACTAAACTAAAGCCAGAGTAAAAACACCCTTGGGTTCATGTATTAAATGTAAGAGGCACTTCCTCTGTTAGTTTAAGATAAGATTACATGTTCTTACAGCATCTCAATTTCACAAGCATCAAAGAAACATTAGGTCTTCAAAACTAATCATTATCCAGTGCAAGATAAAGAAAACGTATCTCTAAATAAGGGATTGAATGTTTTCTTACCTCCCACTACCAATGGAGGGGAAAGCCACAGACTTTAGTTTCTTCTCATCCGCCAGAGCCAAGCAGTTCTTCACCGTCTTGTCCAGCATCTCCTCACATTTATCGGAGCCCCAGCCTGGACTGTTACAGTGTATCACGTACTTAGCGGGCAAGCCAAAGCCAGCGGTCAACACAGCTGAGGGACGAAGGGAAGTAGACACTTTGGTTAGAAATGAGGTTGATATAAGTGTAGCATTACCGCACTAAAACAGCTCTCTGTTGCTCTGGTTGAACATTCAAGTGTAGTAAGAAAAGGATCTCTCTTTTAGGATCAATAATGTTAATGGGCTCTGACAAATTATTCTTTTAATTATAAAGTATTTTTTCAAAGAAAATCAGTTAACCAATTACCTTTCTTTATACATTGTCAGAATTGTAAAAACAATGTTACATATACCATAGTCTAAATTGCATTTGATATTTGACCAACACACTGAAATATACAAATATATTCACTCAATGAAAAAAAAGCCAGAGCTAGTGAATGTTTGTATTTGATGTCTTAAAACAAACTGAATTTGTAGGTTTATCAACAAATTGCTTCAGCCCTAAACTACAACATCCATTAAAATGCCACTGTCACCAAGCTATAATATTTTTTAATATAGAATACAGAAAAAAGAGAGATTAAATTGGTTGAGGCCAAAAACTTACAAATAACTGAAGTAATAAGGTATTACCACCAAACTCCCAGGAAATGTTTACATGATGGTTTGGACAACATTGAACGCTAAATGAAAGAACAATATGTAGTCACCCAGAGCTGCCACTTCTAATAATCAGTGAAATAAGTACCTATATTTTCTCTGACACCACGTCATATTTTGCTGTCATAACTTTGTGCTAGTAATGATTACTGACAGTAAGGGAACTTATTCACTGCTGTCATTCTGCTGGATATTTTCCTGTCACTTCGTAATAGTCCACAATCAAAATGCATTTCATTAACTCATTTTGTCAGAAGTTAAAACCCAGGAGGCCTGAGTTGCTAAAAAGAACACTTTGCTTCGTGGAAAAAAGTATGTAGCAAATCTCCAATAGCTTAAAATGGTTTGGCCGGGGTATTACAGTGAGGTGGGCCGGATAAATCATTTCTCCAGACAGCTGAAAAGTAGCAAAGGAAGAAGAAGAAAGAGGAAGAGAGGAGGAAAAGAAGAGGAAGTCTAACCAGCAGCTGTAGACTCAGCCAGTGCCCCTGACTCTGAAGCGAGAAAGCCTCCAGTCAGATTTTATTAGCCCTCGGTGAGCGTGTGACTGGCCTGGAGTCAAAGCTGAGTTATTTCCAGATGGAGAGACTTCACACAGCAGAGCGAGAGTCACCCGCATGTGATCTGGTCCTGAGGTAAAGAGTGTGGATGATGATTATGGGTTTTTTATGACTGGCTGCACAGTTCGACCTGTTTTATGGTTTGGGAAGGAAGAGCAGTGTGTGGTGGTGCTGGTGAACTGCACATCTGGAGATCACCTGTCAATCAAACTAATCAAACCACTTTGGTGAGTGGTGTGCTTTATCTGCCAATCTAGCCAACCATCTTCTTTTATTCAGCATGAAGAAAAACTAAAAAACAAGAAGTTTCTGCTGGGAATTTGACTCAATCTTCCCTTGTGCAACATAATTGATACACCTACAGTATACCAGGTGTCTTTCTGTATTTATCTTATTGTAATACATTTATGACAAATGATCAAAAACAACAATGTCTCATTTGTCTTCTCTCTGATAGGCTCTGCTGGCTCTGCGTTCGGTCACCTGGTAATCTATTTAGGAGCTCCACACAGAGAGCGGGATTTAGATGCTAAGCTAACTTGGCTGAATGGGAGAGAGTTTGTTAGAAAAAGTGAGTGTGAGTGATGAATAATGATAGAGACAGATGGAGAGAGTGGAGACAAATGGACTGAAAGATAAAATAATCTGACGGTTCAAGGGTTCTCTAAAGACCTTTGCCTGTAGTTTTAGACTTAAGTAGATATTAAGTGCCAATAATAATATATTTGATCATTTTTATGACCAAAACTAGAATTACAGCATTGGATTTGTATGCCAACCAGTCATTACTTAAAATTTG